ACCAAGTCGCCAGTTCTCATCTTCCAGCTCCCCAGCTACTCCGCGTAGTAAAGTTGTACTACAAAGTCGCCAGTTCTCAGTTGTCAGCTTCCAGCCCCACAGATTGCTCCGCGTACTAAAGTTGTACTAGAAACTCGCCAGTTCTCAGCTTCCAGCTCCACAGCTACTCCGCGTACTAAAGTTGTACTACAAAGTCGCCAGTTCTCAGCTTCCAGCTCCACAGATTGCTCTGTACTAGAAAGTCGCCAGTTCTCAGCTTCCAGCTCCCCGGCTACTCCGCGTACTAAAGTTGTACTACAAAGTCGCCAGTTCTCAGCTCCCAGCTCCACAGATTTCTCCGCGTACTAAAGTTGTACTAGAAAGTCACCAGTTCTCAGCTTCCAGCTCCCCAGCTACTCCGCGTACTAAAAGTTGTACTACAAAGTCGCCAGTGCTCATCTTCCAGCTCTCCAGATACTCCGCGTGCTCAAGTTGTACTACCAAGTCGCCAGCTCTCATCTTCCCAATCCCCAGCTACTCCGCGTACTAAAGTTGTACTACCAAGTCGCCAGTTCACATCTTCCAGCTCCCCAGCTACTCCGCGTACTAAAGTTGTACTACAAAGTCGCCAGTTCTCAGCTTCCAGCTCCACAGATTGCTCCACGTACTAAAGTTGTACTAGAAACTCGCCAGTTCTCAGCTTCCAGCTCCACAGCTACTCTGCGTACTAAAGTTGTACTACAAAGTCGCCAGTTCTCAGCTTCCAGCTCCACAGATTGCTCCGCGTACTAAAGTTGTACTAGAAAGTCGCCAGTTCTCAGCTTCCAGCTCCCCGGCTACTCCGCGTACTAAAGTTGTAGTACAAAGTCGCCAGTTCTCAGCTCCCAGCTCCACAGATTGCTCCGCGTACTAAAGTTGTACTAGAAAGTCGCCAGTTCTCAGCTTCCAGCTCCCCAGCTACTCTGCGTACTAAAGTTGTACTACAAAGTCGCCAGTTCTCAGCTTCCAGCTCCACAGATTGCTTTCGCGCGCTCGACACGCGCGATCTCCGCAGAGGGTTGCGCGCGGACCGCACCAATCGCACTCTCGCCTGCATTTCGCGCACTCGACACGCACGATCTCCGCAGAGGGTTGGGCGCACAGCCGGCAAATCGCGCTCTCGCCTGTATTTCGCGCACTCGACACGCACGATCTCCGCAGAGGGTTGCGCGCGCAGCCGGCAAATCGCACTCTCGCCTGCATTTCGCGCACTCGACACGCACGATCTCCGCAGAGGGTTGCGCGCGCAGCCGGCAAATCGCACTCTCGCCTGCATGTCGCGCACTCGACACGCACGATCTCCGCAGAGGGTTGCGCGCGCAGCCGGCAAATCGCACTCTCGCCTGCGTTTCACGCACTCGACACGCACGATCTCCGCAGAGGGTTGCGCGCG